GACTTTTCACTATAACTCGTCAAATCATTGTTTCATGTTTCCACTATTGTCAGAACATGGGTGACAGATGAAGTGGCGTACCTTCCACAGCTACAGCATTGCATGGACTTCAACTCCGAAGCTTCATGTGGAACGAAATTCTTGTTGTCTTCTTACCCATAAATGCATATGTCGATCTGCAATTCATTAGTGACAAGCAAATGAATGGCTCCTATAATCTCTTCAGTATGAGCACCAACATGTTATATCCAGATAATAATGGTCGATTGTCAAAATATTGAATTAATTGGCCTTAATTTCCACCACACACTGTTTTCAAAATATAAATATTTTTCAAATTGAAATTCCGTTTAACGTTTATAATTCACGTATCAATTCTATTGTGCCTTCACAAACAACGAAGAAATTTTCTTAATAAATATTTATCGTAAAATATTTCACTGAATATAACGATAGACTGTCAAAGTAGATTGATCTCTTTTCTTGAATACATTGTTTTCCCTTTATCATTCATTTTTTAGTTCGGTGTAATACTTTAGACCTCATTTTTAAAAACTAAAGTGAACAATCCATGATGACTGATCCATGATGTTTTTGCGAGTTGAAGTCGAGAAAATATTAGTTTGTAACAAAGAAATATTCTCAAAGAAGAGAAAATGTCAAGTGTAAAATATATATATTTCAAATAATCTATGTGGATATATCGCCGAGAATATTTATAATTTTTGAAAAGCGACTGAAAAGGACACCGAAACGGGTAAATAAAAAATATTGTATGAAATAAAAGGGGACGAAAAATAAACGAAGTACCTGACCTAGTCGCCCTAACTAAGTCTTATGTTTGAAGTCTTAAAGATATCGGGTTTCGTCCACATCAGTTCACTGTTAAATCCCATTACCTCACTCAATATATACAGATATGGATACATCTATATAGTTCTCAGCCTAGAAACTCATTAAACTAAACCCTGAAGTAGTTGCTTTTATAGGACTGATTTGGAGCAAAAATTCTACGCAGCTTATTGGGGAATCCATTTTTTCATGAAATTGTACTATAAAACGCCATTCTGTGCGTGGTATTTGTTTGCGCTGCGAATGAACCAATTGTAATCACATTGTTATATTATTTTCGAAAAACTTGTTATGAAGTATTCATTTTTGGATCCGTGACATTGACAGGTGGATTATTCAAAAAAACTTTGATGGAAGTTTTATTGATGGTTATTTGAACTTTTGTGATTTGAGGGACTAACTTCCTGCCCCACAGAAATGTATAATTAAACTTAAAGCAGCAAGTCTAAATAGAGTAACTTTCATATCAAGAATATAATATTACTATGATTTATAGGACATACCGTTATTGAATATAATTTTAATTTAACTGATCTTGGTTTAATTATTTGCAATATAATTCGTTATCAGTTATCTTCGACCATAGATTTCAAACTTTCTCCCAACTATTCTATATACCAGTAATACTTGTAGAGTTTGAAGTCTCCGTGATTCCCATAAATTATTAGCCTTCGATGGAGGCCATAAACCGATCTTCGAATCAATTTTCAGTAATAATTTTCATCCCAAAATTAGCAACCAATGGGAATTAGAGAGATTATATTCTCGTCGAGAAAGGACCTTATTACTCCATATTAACAATTGCGATCGAGTTTAATTAGGCAATTAATATCAGAGCATTAAAATTATTATTATAAATCAACATCAAATTTGGGATCACGTTGTAAATTATTTGTACACTTTTTAATATTTACACCAGTTCTTCCCAGTTCGATATCGTCACGCTAATAACCGAATTGCGTGAGTCATTTTTGGCGATTTTGAGTTTTTTATGAAATAGGTATTTATGTAATGCTTCGCACCTGTCTGTTAACTCAGATTTTATTTTAAGAATTCCGAAACCCATACAAATGGAGATTTAGTATGACATGCACATTTGTGCAATTGTTTCGTCATAATGTTAACGCATTACTATTGTGACGCCACAAAGGCAAAATAACCTCGGCGAAGTATTTTCGAGTTTTTGCATCTCGGATTCTAGCTTAGCGCGTATTAATTTGAATTTATACTACAGTATAAGAAGACGTGCACTTGTGATATTCACTGTCCGAGTCCAATTCACCGTGGTTGGCTTTTATATTGGGTGCATTGCTGTTTTATTCTTTATATTTAATCTTAGTCTTATTTCGGTGGATGTGCAGAGCGTGTTATATTGTTGAAAAATAAATTTTTAAACATAAAAAATAATGTAATTGAAACTGATTAGCTATTTTGGGGATTAGACATTGCAGATACTGTGAATTACATTCGTTTTTGGAATGTTTAGGAATGGAGCATATAGTAAAGTTGCAAAATTGCGTATGTCCCCAAGTCATAGACACATTTCTGCCTAAGTCACAGTCGCGATTATGACGTCACCTGACTGCGTCATACAGATTAACTTAAATCCGGCTACGATCAAAAAATTGAACCATGGCAAATTATTGACTCTCAATGGCATAACAATATCATTAGGAAGTTTTTTACGTTTTTCTCAAAACTGCTAAAAATGACTTACGCAATTCGGTTATTAGCGTAACGATATAATAACCAAAATTGTGACACATGAAATTGATATTAAAATGGAAAAATTTATCCCGATTTATATGTTTAAAATTCCCAGAAACAGTTGATGATTCGAAAATTATTTTTACAACCAATTCTAGATTAATTAAGTCTTTGGTTAACAGTTTTAAGGCGCGAGAGAAATTTACCTCATGGAGCGAATTTAATATCTAAAACAATACATGGGCAACTAAGAACAACTAAATAAACGAAATTGAGCTGACTTTCATATACAAATTTTTTTCATTGGAAGTTGATCACTTCAGAACAAATAGAATGAGGTTATATTAAAATTAGTAAAATGTAACTCGAACATTGTTTATAGTATGCCACCGAATCTTTCGTGGGTAGACTGGAATAAATACACTTTGGTAAAACGCGTGTAACCGACAAATCACTTTTTTTATACCGTATTCATTCATATTTGTTATCATTACTCTACATTTAATGTAAATTTCAAAATCAACTAGAGGAGGTGTAAAGTATAAATTACTCTAGTGAGTACACAAAATCGTGAAAAATAATACATCACGATGAAAAAGTATTTGCGAATTAGCAGCATATTTATATCTGACCAAATATAGTGATTGTGGGCTTATTAATTCTTTCAGGTATGCTCAAATAATCAAATTTTAAATGAAAACATGATAAGAGCATCAACGAATAGCACGCTTAATCAGTCATTGAATAAATAAAAAAAGTTTCACAATCATTTGAATGATTATTGTGAACCTTTGAGCGCCAAATCAATAAAACTATTTTTAGACAAATAATAAAAAATAAAAGTAGTGATATTATATCCCATTCAATTTACTTTCATGTTTGAATTATTCGTTTGTATAGTGAAACATGTACAGTGTAAGTTAATGATATACTACTACATAAATGTATATCATCCATAAAATGGCCTATTTTGAGAACTAATGCATTTAAGTATAGTAAGAGGTATAGTATCATAAAATCGATAATACGAATCATCTGGTACATGACGTACTTCCAAGCTCATATACATGGAGAATAATTTGTTAAAATATCTAATAACAGTGTATACGAGTTGAGTCAAAGCGAAAATACGTAAGCTGGCAAGTCGTTATCGACCGACATCGCCCACATTCCTTTGGATGGCATTTCGACGAGTCGCGCAATCGGGTTGTGCGGCGGGAGGGAAACTGAGCAATGGAACTGTCAAGTAAAACAAACGAAGCGTTGAAACGGAAAGACGTTGATGACGGCAAACATTTTAGTTGAATCGTCTGGTTGTGAGTGCTCATCGATGTAAGGGTTTATTATGTCACTTTAGGCCGCTGTACAAAGCCAGCCTTGCGTAGCAAGTCAGCAGTGATAGCTAGATACAATATTACACCCAAGGTTAAGTACTAGTACTACCAGTTATATGAAGGCGTACGGGCAGGGGCTTGTCCATAGAGTACAATCGAATAATACAACGCTTTGTAAGATAAAGAATGCATTGTTACAGGCTAAATTTAGTGTATATCATGAGCCAGATGACAGTGAAAACCATGTTGCTATCATGTTATTGTAGGTTCGCATAGCAATTTTTGTAGGAAACTCGTACAGGAAATAATTCAGGGATCACCTTAACCATGCGGAACAATTTGGTGCGTTCTCGCGAAGAGAAATGGGTTCACATAGTGCTTCGGCACGAGATATTCAAAATTTCTGTTTAGTTGCCATACACTGCAAAAATATAAGTCAACTAACTACCTGTTTATTGACGTCAAATATCGGAACCGAAGCCTTTGATTAGCGTTCACTCGATGAAAAGCATGTAATCCAAGTATTTCGTCTCGTAAAATTGGCGGGGAAATTGCTTGAGGCATCAAGCAAGCACGGCCCTCTGATCTATCGATGCGATTGCGCCGTTCAATAATCGTGCTGCGCTCAATTAAGCTATGTGAATTATACACGTACAGCTGAAGAATACGCATTGGATGCCAACCTTTAAAAACTCTATTCATACATTATACATATGTCGCCGAACCGAAAGCTGAGTTATATTATTTATTATAATATTAATCCATGACATACACGATGCAAAAAAACGCTTCATCGGCAGATGTATACAGGCTATGTTCACCAAACGGTTATTGAGCGAAACTACAGCCTCTGTTAACCTGTGTATTTATTTTGGTGGTTATGACATTACATTGCGTCATATGACCTGTTACTGCAACGGTTGCCAACAGTGGGCATCACCGTTTCTCGGTAATAAATTTAACATAATTCAATGTTGCTGTATGGCTGTAAAAATTAGGTGCTTCCCTTCAGTTTTGAACGCAACCGAGTGATTCGCTGTTATTTTATTATTATTATACAACACTTCTGTTTTCTTGCGTAACCAAACATTGGTATTTTTCATTTAGATCAGAATAAGATCTTGATATGAAACTTGATTTTTTTTTTGAAATATTATAAATTGACGACATGTACGGAAAGTTATCTTTGAAACTACGAGATCTGAACGATCACTTAGTGTGTGCTTTATGTGGTGGCTATTTCATCGATGCTACGACGATAATCGAATGCTTGCATTCATGTAAGTATGGTTTCTTGTTACGTTAATTTTTCTTATCGCAGCCTATTCCATTCTGAACTTGAATTGATAGGACAGTATTTTTTTAAATTCATGGATAATTAAATAATTGAAATTCATCGGTATCGTCTGCACTCTACAGTACTTGGGAATAGGATAATTGGGAATTAACAAAAAATGCTGACGCAGATATACGAATGAAAAAACGAAATGAGAATTAAATTGATATTTGATGCGATCGCAATACGAAAGTCGTGTGCGTGATTCTTCTAGGTTTAAAAATTTTGCGATTTGTTATGGTCAGCCAAGATGACCAACACATATACATTAGTTTCTCAACACAGAGAATTAACTCGTATAAAATAAAACTTAAAAACCATAATTCCGATCAGGAGTTATCGATCATCCCGTAGCATCATTGCTAGCTTTAATATATTGATCATAGTGGGAATTTTAACTTTCGTGGTAGCATATCGGAAAATGCGCCCTGTGTATTATAAACTCGGTACTTAATACTTACTGTGCTTTAAATTTCAGTCTGCAGGAGTTGCATTGTGACGTATTTGGCTTCAAACAAATGCTGTCCAAAATGCGAGATACCTGCGCATAAAACTCGACCTTTACTGAACATAAGAAGCGACAAGACATTGCAAGATGTCGTCTATAAACTGGTACCAAATCTTTTTGACAAGGAAATAAAGCGCAAAGAAAGCTTTCATGAAGAAACGGGTGAGTAATATATAGACTTTTAGATCTTGTATTTACAAGAGTTCTGTGAGATTTTAAAATTGATTTTGTAATTGAACTACAATGGCTCTCAATTCAACATCAAACTCATATGCCTGCACACGCGCATCTCAAAATTTATATGGTATTCCTGATAGTCCTGCTGCCAATCTCGCTATTATTAAACAAAATTGTGTAACATACTAAATAAAATGATGATGTATAAATAAAATGATGATGGCTCTCAATCCAACAACAAACTCATATGCCTGCACACGCGCATCGCAAAATTTATATGGTATTCCTGATAGTCCTGCTGCCAATCTCGCTATTATTAAACAAAATTGTGTAACATACTAAATAAAATGATGATGTATAAATAAAATGATGATGGCTCTCAATCCAACATCAAACTCATATGCCTGCACACGCGCATCGCAAAATTTATATGGTATTCCTGATAGTCCTGCTGCCAATCTCGCTATTATTAAACAAAATTGTGTAACATACTAAATAAAATGATAATGTATCTATACTTGGAAAAAAATGAGTGAATATGGCTTTCTAATAGGAATTTTTTCACAAACAGAACGGGGTATTTGTTATCACTTTTCAAGAGTAATGCACCTATACTTCAATCCAGTAATAATTTAATTTAGTCTTATTTGTTTGCCCGGCCATCTAATCCGCCTTAAATCGTTTGCAGCTTTTCAAATTGAATTCAGCGCGATCTAGAAGCATTGTTTGTTATTGCACATTTTGTTATATTTAAACATTCTTTTGAAGATGTATGTTTTTACATCTCTAAATCCGACAATCCTCCAAACAAGCAGGATCAGTTACGTATGGGGACAATATGTTTTCAAAATGGCCAGTAAGGTGTTTGCATGTGACAGGCTTCGTTTAAGTGTCATTCTTGTTTTTGTTATCGACCAATCAATTTCAAATGTAAAGGCCTTAAAGTGGGAATGATTTACTAGGAGACCAATACTTTGATTCATTTTTTTTTTAAATATTCCCCGGGGTCCGAAATTTCAACCAAAATTTTCTCCTTGAACAGGGATACCGATGAATGTGGAAGAACGGAAACGTGTATTAGTTACTAATACACCAGAGAAGAAGGAACATCGTGTTAGTTTGTCCATTGAATATGACACTCGGTGAGTGTAAATTTTGGTCAGAATGTAAATTTAATTGTTACACTAAGAGTAATAATCTCTTTTTCAAGTTTAATAATGACGTCACATTGATTTTCCAAGTTGTCTAGAACCCTGCCCGCACTAACTGGAATATTTTCCCATAAATCTCATATTTCTTCATTAGATATTATTTTTCTATGGTAGACATAAATTTATGGTGTGCATTTTGTAATAACTGCGCTTTATTTGTAAATTTATCAGAAATACTGAAATTCCTACCTTCATAAAATAGCTGTTCCCATTATCAACATGAGCTGCAATTATTGAACGCCTAATATTTTGTGTTTCAGACACGTGACCCTAACTGACAATTCACTGTGGATAAAAGAAGAGACTTCATTCCCGAAACGTTACTTAAGATGCTTTGACACTGTCACAATAGGAACTATCAACAAATTAATACGAAATAAACTTTCACGTGATGATTTGGAGGTATGTGTATTAGTGTATATATGTAAGGTCTCTTCTAGCATACATACAATTTTGCAAAGACTTTGTCCTGAAAACTATGTGTTGACCTTAGTTAAAAAGTTCGAAGCATGGCTACGTGTATTGACTTGAAACTGAATTGTGGAATCTGTAGGTAGATTATGTTAACTGGATTTAAGACCGTGACTGGAATGATACGAATTTATCGATGTTGAAAAACCTAATTTTTCACTCAATTTCGGCTACATGGCTGAAACTAAAATATTTGGTAACTGTATAAATAATACATTATCTGCAATAAATTTTGTACAGACTGAGTACTATATTAAATCCTATCCATTTGCCTACCTATCTCGTTAAACTGGTGTTTTTAGTTTGTAGTTTATCTGTTACATTTGATTCTTTTCTTCAAACAGGTGATTACGTTTTGTCGGGGTGAGTTGTTGCCAGAAAAATACACTTTAATGGATGTCACAAAAACATTTGCATGGAAATCTGTAAGTATAATAATACTTAATAATTGAATTGAATAAATTCTGTATTTTGATAATTTTATGATAAATGCTTCATTTGCTTTGTAGGATCGGCCATTGTCACTGACGTATATGACTTTCAAGTCGAAAAATAGAAAACGAAAAATATTGGAGGATATTTTGAATGCTAAACAAGAAAGCAGTGTTCCAGCAAAAAAGTTGTTTAAAGAAAGTCCCATCTCTAAGATGTCATCAAATGTAAGCGCTAATCATCAGTTAAATGACAACAAGGCGAATGAACTGAAGGCTCTATCTAGTACAACGAATGAACTGGCGTTCAGCAGTCATTCATCCGGTACAAACACGAAATCCCCGTTGTCAAAATCGAAGATGACCACTGTAGGATCCTCCAAAAGCCACGGTAATTCACAAAATGGAGGAAAAAATAAGTCCTATTCTGTAATGAATGTTCCTTTATTGGAAGCAGTCAAGGCCCCAGTAGCAGAAGCTTCTCAGAAAACAAATTTATTGCAACAGCGCGGCAATCGGAATTTGTCGCAAATGTCAGCGCAACGCCAAGATGGTCTCAAGGAAGCAACGCAACATGCGCACTCGTTATCTGGTGTGGAACGCGTAAAAAGCATCAACTCTATTGCTAACAGACTTCAGATTAAGCAGCAAATGCAGAACGAAAAGTCTCGCTCAGAAACTGAAGTGAAAAGCTTCGTCAGCCGAGAAGACGCTAATCGAAGTAAGCAGTTCTCTTCCGCACAGTTTAGTCCCCCACCTCCTGTCTCGTTAACTCCTACACAAACAGTGGCGGCGATGAAAATACAACATGATCAGTTAACTCGTAGGTTGAACCTATCTAAAATTCAAAACTTGAGTACGGATGAGGCACATAGTCTGGCGCTTGAATGTGTGAGAAACACAATGATGACAGGCTCGCGACCAGTTGCCCCAAGTCAAGCATTACCAAGACAGACTACTGTCCAAGCTCCTGCATTGAATACTCCGGCTACCAAATTCATTCAGTTGAAACGAACGGATTTGCCAAACTATGCGCAAGCTACGGAACTAATGCGACGAGCTCAGATGATAAAACAAGCACGCCTCAAGTATCAAGGCATTCTTCCTAAACCAACAACACAGAGACCTGAGAGTAGACCTGTACAGCCAACCCAAAGAATACAAAGATCATTAAACGCAGAGGACCTTCAACTTCTATCAACGACACGAGAACTTGCGTCGCTAAGGCAACAACAAAAACTTCTCAACGAGTTTGCTGCCGCGGCCATGCATGGGCGTAGCAAACCACCCCTTCGGACTAGTGAAACAATTCGGGCTGCCAGTTCTAGCATGTCACCTAGAATGACATCACCCACCAATGTATCGATATCACATCAAAATATATCGAATAAAGCACATTCTTCTCAACGTCAACTAATGCCATTCTCCAACATGCAGCCACGGTTTTCCGTCGTTTCTCCCAAAAAAGTTTCCCAGTCCGCACAAGACCACATGCGGAAAAACGGCGCGAGCATTCACGCAGTTCGGGAAAATGGCGTCAAGTCTACGGATTTTTCTAGAGTTCCCAGCAACGCCAGTCCATCTTTATTAAACAATTCCCGCGATACAAACATAGATATATATAAACATACAATTGCAAAAGCGAGGGATACGATTCGACAAATGGACAGCTTGAAAAATCGAATGGCGGCCCCTGGTGTCCGGGGAAGAACTCTGATTAGTCCCCATCAGTCTCCGAGATTTCAGAAACGATCACCAACTACAAGAACGACTTTCGCGCCTCGAGTGACACAACCTGTTCTGATCGCCCCAAAACCAATCCCGACTCTTCCTCGTTTACCATCGCCAAAGGTGGCGCAGCCGAATATTCAGAATAATGCCAGACCTTCTACACGACCCCAAAAAATATTTTCCCCGATTATGACGTCTCCTTACGCTCCCAACAGACACACATTCCCTCCTCCGTTGCGTACAATTAAGCCTACCGAAACTCCTGTAACTGCTACAAATCAGCCCGAACAAGAACAGCCATTATGCCTTGTCATGAAAAAATAGGCATTTATTGGGCGCAAAGTACTAATTTGCAAATTTTCAGTTCCTCCTTGCTTTGTTGCACTAATGGGTGCAATTTTAATCATGTATTTTGTTTATATTTTATGAATTATGCCGAAAATTATTTTTCAATAATCAGCATAACAAAGGAGCATCAATACGTTATATTTATATAAGGAAGCAAAATGAGACGACAGCAGAATGAACGAAGGTAATTAGTATGATATAGCAGAGATCGTTATATAAACAGTCGGTATTAACTCCACTCGAATGAAACAAGCGAAATGGAAACAACAGAAGGTGAATTGAAACCGTTTCGTTATTAAGCGAGAGCTGCCCACGCGAAGGTTGTTATTTAGATGTAGCTAGTACGGGGATGGGCGAGGTTTTTGAACCAGGGGCCAAAAATTCTGCCTATCTACCCTGGCGGGCCATGTAAGTGTGACGTAAAAACTTACATTTTATGAACATTTCAGAGTCTCACAAAAGCAACAGTGGAAAACAATAAGCCTCGTGCCAAAACTAAATTTAACCGCACTCTTAACAAATTACTTGAGTTATTTTTAACCAAAACATTGAAATTTGGTTTCAGTTTGGTTGTGGCAGCACAGATTGAATTACCCAACGGGCCGGGTTTTACCCATGTCTGAGCTAGTGTACACGTATCCTATTTCGGTTTTGTATAAAATATTAGAAAGAGTAATTTTCATCATACGCAGACGTCCCGTTTTTATGAGTGTCGGGCCCATCAGGGTTGGCCAACACGCCGGTCGATCGCTACGTCTCGAGTAGTCCATCGCGTCTGATGTTGAGTGAATTTATTAACATACCCCAAATAATATCTTACGAATACAGTACTGTGCATGCATAAAATACGATATACACATACTTTACATTATACCAATGGTATCCAACGGTAGCCAAACTGCTTCATAGCAAAACATTTCTTGTTGTAACTATCATTTGGGCTTACGCGAGACTAACTGCCTTTCCTTGCTAATTGCTATATGCCTTTGCGTGGATGATGATGCTGTAGGGTTGCAAGAAGCATATTATCAAAGACTATTCTCTTTAATAAAGAGTAACGTAAAAATATAGTAAACTAAATATAAACTAATCTACGGTTTCCACCTACATCGACAGGGGCTGATATTGATATACCTTCTACAGGCGCATTAGCAGCTACCATATGTATTCTTATGGGTGATGACCCGCTGTATTTGTCAAATGGTGCGTCAGTTGTCGACCCTTGATTAATGTATATAGATCTAATACCAAAAGAATTTTCCTACTGTAAACAAAAGTTTTTGATAAAAAAAATCTAAACTTTTAGTTATTACCAGTTCCTTAATTCAAAATTCAAACAATTTTAATTAAGTATATCTTTTTTAGACAGAATTTCACAAGGTTGAGGATTGCGGTCTTTTTCTACAAAGGTCTCCTCTTTTATCGCTAAACGACGTTTGCTAATTGTGTTTCTCACGGCTACTCCTGCACTCGACGGAAATCCATAGTGTGGTCCATTTTCAAAATATGCTTGACGTTGAGGAAATGTAAACGCTGTAAAAGCTTTCCACGAATGCCCAGGATGATCAGAGAAAAATAAACGGCAGAGCGATATCTCATTGAAAACGACAATTTTGCTGGCATGAAGCAACATTTGATCTGTTAGAATTTTGGTTTCAACTGTCACTCCAAAATATGGATAAAATCAGTCCCGAATGTTTCAACAATATACTTCATAGCAGGGGTCACCAACCCGTTGCCCGCGGGCACCAAGTCGCCCGTGAAGACCGCATTAGTCGCCCGTAGGTCTGTTCCGAAATAAGCTTAATAACGGCGCTTATAAGTAAGCTGCATCAATCAATTTTTGTCATGTTATTCTTGTATAAATCACACTCACGGTATGTCTTATTTGGGAACTATGTCTATTATGGTAATTATTATGTCAATTATTATGGTAACGATCATCCTAACTTTTATTTGACCTCAGTAATGTGACGGGTCATTTATTACTCTCCCAATTATGACATCACACAGCCTTCCATGGACCCTTCCATGAACCCGCGCTTTTTCCTGGCCGTTGATTTGTGGAGCAGCAATGCCAATAATACAATTATTGATTTCAAAGTAAAATAGCAAAAATACGAAAGAAAAGCTACCATTTGCACGATGAATGAGAGGTGGATTTTCTTTTCCCACCGTGAAAACAGCTTGCGTATGTCTCATTTTCGGGGAGTTTATAGCGACGACAAAGCGAAGAGACATTTCACATCTTGTCACTATCCATTGGTCAGCGCAGTAGGGGCAGAAAAAAGCTCGCATTTTAAATCAAACAGCAATCCTATGTTACGAGATCAGCGTTTGGTTCAAGCCATCTTTGTGAATCAACATTTTTTGATATGAACTCCACAAGGAACTATAAGCACGGAATACGCCTTACTCATGAAAATCTGCAAGACCCGTTCAGAGTTACAGTGTCAAGTTACACGCCTGAGTAAAACACCTGGTGGAGAGCATTAGACCAGATTTGTTCGATTTTGGTTTTCTCCTTGTTAAAAACAAGATATTCATAATTAGTTAAATGTGTTTTTAAATGTAGCATTCGGCAGTACAGTACAGTTATGCAGGGTGTTTGTAAAAAAGTAGGTACATTGTGAACCTGTGATCTCCGAGGATATTATTGTAGTGATCACTTTAAAATCAATTCGAAAAACACTAATTTTGAAAATGGAAGTGTCATTGCTAGTAATTTATTTGCTACGTTGTGATAATCGTTTGATATCCTGAAGAATCCTGAAGTTTATCAGTGTTTTTACTAAAAATCAGTAATTATGAATAATTGAAGGTTAATCGAGCAAATTTACTTTTTCAAAAGTGTGCATTTGACTGGTAGCCCTCGGCCTAAATGGTACCCAGAAAGTAGCCCTCGGCTTCGAAAAGGTTGGTGACCCTTGCTTAAAGGAAGTGAACTTAGTGATTCAGGATTGAATTCATAGCCAGTTTATTCAGGAAGTCGTTATAGTTTTCTAACTGGGAAAGATATCATCATTGTCGAAAGCTGCTAGCCTGCTACAGCTAATCGGTGTAATGTCACGATTAGTTATTTTTCTTTAGTTCGTTACGCTTTGTCCCGGAATAAGAAAAGACGAAAAGTTCATCAGCACATGTGATTGGGCCATATTTCAAAGGAATAAATGTTCATCAAACTTGCTATGCTAGTGCCACGACCTGATCCACTTCCATAACCTCACGATTTTAAACTACAAAATGTTTTAGCTATGATAGCAATTTTTCAGTCTATAAACGTTCATCAAGTGAGACGTTATTGAATGCCAGAGAGAGCAGCGGGGAATCTAGAAATGATTAAAATCATAATTGTAACGCTGACAACTCTTCTATTAACTGCTGGACTCTCTATATCAGGTTAGATTTTTTTTCTTATGAGTTTTCTCCTGTAGCAAGTCGAAAATAATTTTTCAATTCTACATTTCTACGGAAGATAATAATATTAATTCATCGGTCCATATGGATTGCGGCGGTAACATTAACTTCATGTAATGAGCGGATATCAGTATGAAAAGCGAAAATATGTGACAACTTCATGAATTACAAGTAACTGGTTATCGCATCCGAATTCTAGAATTTCAGATGGAATTACATCGAATTGAAAATATGTTTATGGTTCTCGATTTTAAAAGATGCTGCAATTCTGTATCAACTCTCTAGTCCAGCGCTCCTCAACCGGTGGTTCGCGGCCCACTGGCGGGCCGCCAAGCATCTCATGGTGAGCCGCGAACTCGTTGCCATGTTATTCGTATTTTTCTATATATTTTGTGTTAGAATTTGAATTATTTCGACTTTCAATAGAATAGCAACACTTAGTGGTATTTGAGAACAGTAAGGTTTTTATTTTTCTGTAAGTATGAAAATACGAATAAAAAATATTTATAATCGAGCAGTTAGTCATTCATGATTAACATATTGAATATGTCACTCGATTACACCTATCTTCGTTGGAGAGCACATGTTTATAAGTAGACGCTATCATATGTTCGGATCGCCACTAAACAATCGTTAATCTATGTAAATCTCATTTAAAATGATGAATTTTTAAATTCCAGTCATTTGGCAGTTGACTGCAGCTTTGATCCCCATCGCCAGCAGTTTATCTCACATCCTGATTTCTCTTTCTGGGATTACAAAATATTATCTACGAAGACACTAATCTATTCTTATTCTGTTGCAAATTTTGATTCCAAATCTAAATTTCAGGGGAATCTAGAATATAAACTCCGCGAAGTTTCAAAGTTTACCTTCGGAACATCCTTGTCTGAAATGTATTATTACTGAGTTGATAGCTTAAATCCAAAATCGGACACATATATCGATGGTAATTTTGGGATTAGATCCTTTTATGAACTATTTTATTCATGGGAAGATAAAACAATTTTTTATTTTATAAATTTGAATTATATAATTTTTTTCATATAAATTTTAGCAACTGAACGATGCGAAATGGCAGCGATTTGCGATGAAAAACCTGTATGGATGACAGTGCCAACGAATAAAGATGAGGCAAGATACTATTACTAGTAAAACTTTTTTTCATTTTATATTTTGGGCACCAAAACCTGCGTTTTCATTTGACATTATAGGACCAATGCAGAGAAGGGTAAATGTAGTTTTCATTCAGCGGCTAGGAAATTCCCAAGCGACACACATTTAACCACCAAACTGCTCTGAAGAACGCCTGTCAAGTGTGCCGCTGCACCCCGCTGGTGGGACACATACTGGTACACAATGGGGCAGTCTATTAAACTAAACGAAATATTCAGGTAGAATTAGCAACGAATCAGCTTCATCATTTGAAGACATGTGCGAATTCAAGTTTGTAGATTTATTATTTTTGAAATATTGTTCAACCAAAATATTTCATACTTTTTTTCGAATAATTCTCAAAAAAAAAATTTACCCACATTGGCAACATAAAACTACTTTGACGACATATACATATACGTATCTAAATACTCTGCCATTGTAGAATTGCCTGTTGAATATTTTAGATGCTTATTATTGAATCTGAAATAAATTCTGAAACAAAAAAGTTATTTGTTAGATAGTTAGAAGGTTCAAAAACATTAAATACTGTTTTCGAGTCAAAATTAAAAAAAAAACGAAAGTGTAATTTTTTTAGTAACTAAACTTCTCAAATGTGTTCAATAAAAGTAATTAATTCATTAAAAGTAATAATTCACTTTTTCAAAAACACTCTGGACCATTTCAGATTGGACCATGGGTGGGCCTAACACTAACCTAATATTACACAAAAAATAACGCAAAACTGGGCCTCTACGCATTCAATGGATAAATCACTGACCGTGTCACTGCACCGTGGAACATGTCTCACTGAACCTCGGTATTTCGTAGTGGACTGAAGCTAAAATAGCCAGACTGTATTTGTAAACGTCCATCGCAACTACCATCATCTAAATGGCTTTTGTATAACACGCGAACGTCTTATCCACGGCTTGATGATACAAAATTTGCCATCAAAACGTATTGCGAGTGGCCAAACTAATGTACGAAGCAATTTTAGCCCTTGTTTTTTTGATCAAAATCAAATTGTCATTAGTTCTTGCGTATCGTATAAACAAAATTCTAAATATTCTAATGTAGCGTCCAAAGTTTAATATGACGATTCTGTTTTGTTTTTCTAGACTTCCTACTCCGCTCAGGATTGTGATAGGGATATTCAAAGAATAAAAGGTAGCTATGTGATGCTTTAGATAAGAAACCATTTGAACATTAAGAATCTATCTTCTGACACTATAAATCAGCAGCGTCCATTTCAATACAGTCATATATATCAAGTGGTAAGCATGTAGTAACAATCATGAATTCATGTCTCTAATTCAACATTCAATAACTCGCCCAGGAAGATAAAAAATTTCTATAACCAGTTTGTCGTAAATTGTTTATGAATCAGATAATAAAGCTCAGAAAACGATATTTTTTCATTAAGAACTGTACTCTATGGAACGAATAATTGGATACAGAGATGCATATAGATCGTTTTTCTTGTTGTGATTTGGGGGGTTTATTTTGTTGTTATTGGGTATCGATGTCAAATTTGTAGTACATAAAAATTGAATTATTTGCCAGAAGGCTCTGTTTTTTCAATTTGTGGCTGGGTCCTATGGGAACCGATATTTTAACAAAAATGTTGCAGTTTTATCTCAATTACAGGGGAACATTTTTATTACGTATTGGCCGATGTTTTCGGTAAACCACCGAGCGCGGTCTTCGTGTCCATATATTTGAGCATTGCACAGATGTTAAGTTCAAGTAATTTCTAACCGTATTAGTTAACTATAATATTGCTCAATTTAAGATCATATGGCTGAGTTTCGTCTTCTAGAGAAGGCTCTGCGCAAAAGATTAAATAAATACAAAAGCTTGAAGCAGTCTACACCATCCAATAAAGGTAATTGCTACGGTATTGCAACATTTTATTCATAGATTGAGAGTATTTTATAACAAGAATGAAAAATAGACAATTATCATTTATGTGTTAAACATAGCAGGAGAGTGTAGTGTGGACGTACCAGGATGTTACATTAGAAATATATAAGTTATATTGGGAATAGGATGATAAGTGGATTTGAATATGCCATTCATTAAACGTGAAATTAAAATTTATGTGAATAGTTCTGGGAGGTCAACACTTTTCAAAGTATGTTGGAATTAAATATGATTAACACACAGTTGTAGAATTATATCTTATTTCTTCAGTGATTGGTTGCAACTTTTCTACTGGTCTATCTTGGGATCGAATTATCTTGAAATTTCTGAAAGTGTTCTTACTTCTACCTAAATTCTTCCTGAACACCTTCCTAGTTTCGATTGTTGCAGTTAAGTTAAGAAGTTAAGATTGTTGCAGTTAAGAAAATAGCGTTCATTTCAGTCGTCAATTTTCTTATGAATAATGGAAATTTCCAATGTGTTTAGACATGCTGACGTCGACTGCAACTCCGGCCGACATCACTACAGAGCCGTTAAGTCCAACCACCGACTTATTAACTATTGTTTCAACTATAGACAGTATGTACTGTTTGTTACTAAATTAAGGGTATTTTGAAACCAAAATAACACATGAAATTATTGATAATAATTATTTGATGTGCCAAAATATTGAATGAATGTATATTTAGCACGTATTTTGACTCGATGAAGGAATGCACATCGTATATTTCACACGTATAATTTCATTTCATGACTACACGTCAAAAGTTAAAAATATATTCATCTATAATTTTGATTTGATGAACTTGAATATCTCATTTATATTACTTGGAATCAGTGAATGTTTCGAAATATTTACGAGAGGTAATGATGATGAAAATTTTAAAATATAATAGCTTTGAAAATACGGTTGAAACGGTTTCCAACTTTCTTTCGGTGATCAGTGGCAACTTTTCCCTCTGGACTTTTCTAATAGCAACCAGTGATGTTCGCTGGATAACAGAAATTTTTAATGTTATCAGGTGTGCCAACTTCCACTGTAACTTCAGTCTTCATCTCAACTAAACCATTAGTTACGACAACCTATTTGCCAACAACTACTTCTATAATCGACTGTACTAACAATTGGAACGAACCAAGTAAGATATATTTAATAGTCAACAAGGCAATTAGGTATTAAATAATCAAATACAAAATAAGTATTTACTTCTTGCATGTTATGTCACATTACCAGTAAACAAATTAAGTCTTATATAAAGTCTATAAGCAAAAAGTTTATGTTGCTAAATAATGTTTAAGTTCGTTCATAAAATGTAAAGTGAAATAAAATGAATTTGCGGTTCGAGTTTATTTCAACGAGTGGATGAAGTAAATAGTTTACTGTGTCGCGCTAACGATTAGTAACTCCACCCTGACGAACAGCTAAGAATCTCCATGATTTTTATTTTAACGATATAAAACAAAAGTACGTAGATTACAACCAGCACAACAATTTTCGTCTCAGAACAGTTTTCAAGATTCACAAAAACAGTTGTAGATATTTTCTTTTTCCAGCAAGCTACACCTACGTTGGCTGTTATAATGAGGAAACGCCATTCAGAGGAGGAAGAGTAATAGCAACAGTCGAAGGACAGTATCCCACAGTTTCAGGCTCGTATAGAGCCAGAACAAATGCAATACAGAAATGTGCAAGAATAGCATTTTGTTTGGGATACCAGGTTTTTGCCCTACAAGATGGTGGCTGGTAATCATATCTAATTGTTTTTATATGTACAGTAATTTAGATCGTGTTTATGCAACCCTTCAAAAACGTTAAGCACTGCTATGACCATTTTAATGTGGTGGTTAATATAATCTGATCTTACTTCTTTTTCTGATGTGCATTTTTGTCTTTATAAATGAGAGAAATATGTAGAAACGAGGCAAACAATGTTTCTAACAAAGATCTGTCAAGCCAACTTCATTCTTCAAATACGAATGCCTGTATGATCATTACCAAATTTTGTGTATGTATATACTCAATGTAACTCTGTACAATAGGTGTGCTACATCAGAGAACGCCCACTTGACGTTCAGTTCATATGGCCGTTCCTCTGCGTGCCCACCAGGAGGAGGCGAAGGAGTTTCAGCCACGAATGCTGTATACAAGATAACTAACAATTTTTAAACTGTTTGTATAGGACTCTGGTAATAACTTTGGACCTAACATAAGCCTAATACGATTTGAATAAAATGTATTTTTTCTGTTTCTGTCTTGTAGTTATCAAGACTCGTCCTATCAGCCCAGTATATAAACCCGGATATATTTTACGGATGACCGACTACCTTTGGTCTTACAAAACTAATTTCTTTTTTTTTTCCAATCTTCAAATAGATACAACTTCACTAAAATATTGTGTTAGTGGTATTTCAAATTGCTTACAGAATTCGTTTGCTTATAAAATTATCGTACGTTAGTAAGGTGGGCAAGAAGCATCCAAACGAACTGATTAGTAGCGTAGCCAACCTAAAAGTTTGGTTGGGGCAATTTTTTGGTGATTACGTATTACGACGCGTACTCGCGCTTTTTGCTCTGAACAAGACCACATTAAAGCAGCCACCGATATCTTAAAAAATCTATCCACACACTTACTCCATTAATCAAGATATATAAATGCGCATTTCATCTATCTCGGTTGGTGCATTTGGGGAAAATGCTAAATAGGCACTGTATAGCAACCTCGTCAAATCCCAATCGGAGAATAATTGTCGCTTTGTATTTCTAAACAATATGTGTACGTATGAAATTTTCATTCATCTGCAAAAGTTAGTTGATTAAATCAATTGAATTTTGCTCTGTCTTTTTATCTCTCAGATTATAAAAGTAAAATACCAATATCTGTGTCATCGTTTATTTTATTTTTCCTCGTCGTGTCAATGTCCCAGTTAGATGTATAAACACTTTGTTACTTACCGATTGAAGTTCCTGAGTAAATTAAAATTACTTCATTCAATGACCCGGATGTATATGCTCTATATTTAAAAAATAAACTTGACAAACATATGAATAAAGTTGTGTCGAAATGTAGCAACAAAGCCGTAATTAAAATATGACGTTATCTATTGGAACTTACAAAGAATGTCATATTTGAATTGCCGCATTGTTGCCACATTTCGACGCCATCGTTGTTAAATTTCATTAATGCTGTTATTGCCTCTTTGGATAGTTACAAAATTAGCCAAGTCAGTATTTTGATGAGTAAACGAATAACTCGCTGAGCACCCAGGTTTCTCTTACAAAACTTTGGGGCTCCATGTGGAGCGCTTTGAGAACTTATGATTTAGTTTAGATAATAATTACCAACTCCAGTACTCTAATTCTTAGATTTACTCCAGTACGAAACAGAGAAAAAAGTTGGCTGATAATTCCAAAATCTTCAGTAGGCCAATTTATAGGAAATTTATCATTGATAGCCAACTTGTTTGATGATATTTGTGCGTATGCATGACTTGCTAATAAAACTGAAAAGTTTCAATCATTATGATCAAAATGAAACAAAAGGTATTCAATTACGTTTGTGGTGGGAAAGAGTTACGTTGTCTTGGTGCCTCTCCTTGACTGATTACAGCACGGTAGCCTTTCATCGGGCATAGGCATTGTCCTTCACAAAAGAAACACGAATTATGATCGCGTACCGGGATTTAGTTCCACTCGTTATAATGGTCACCCTCTCATTGTAACAACCATGTTAGCCATAGTTCAGTCTGAGAACACTACATCAGGCAGTAAGGTTTACAACACATAGCCGTCCTTGTTTAGCTCAGTGGCCCAAAAGGCAAAAACAGAGCAGCCTAAATATCTCCATCTTATCTAAATCCGGACAGTACGGAACGTTGAATAGCTGAGCGTTATTTTTTGAGATTTGTAGTAGCCCAAGTGATTTTCAGATTTAATAGAAAACATAACAAGTAATATATTATATATCGAACATAATACGTTGAAATAAAAGCTCTTCGTTATGTAAACATTGTGATATATTTCCCTTATTAGGATATATGTATAAAATATTTATGAGGTATGTTATTTTCCTCATCTAACGAAATAAAGCAAAAGTTTGTCTTCATAAACAAAGTCGGATAACGTTTATTGTAAATATATATTATTGACCTAATATGATGAGGTTTATACACAAAGGCAGTGATAGCAAATATATTCACTCACGTTAAAGACTTGATGTTATTTACATAGTCTTAAGAGACCATTCAGTACTGTTGATGTCAGACTTGAAAGACTATTAGACGACTTAGTTAATTTCTTGAAGCGAGAATTTTAACAAAATTTGAATTTAGTTGTTCTCAATCTCAGATTTTCATTTAGTAAGTAAAAAAACGTCTATTTTGCCATACGTTGTTACAGTAGCAATACTCATTATATTTCATCAGTCTTGACGATATATGTTTTTAAAATAAAAACCTCAGATATTCTTCGTGTGATATATGGTGTACACTACTCGACAAATCGAGACTTTTATTACTACACATGATGTTAATAAATAACGCACTTTTTCTAGAAAATACAACTGTTGGTTTACTTAGTATGATGATGTCAGCATAAGAACAATAAATGAGCATTGTAAGCTCTCGGAAATAGTTTCTTTATATAAAGATTGTTGGCAGTTCCAGACATTCTAAGCTACCGAGTACGATGCTATGTCAATAAAATGTAATCTCTCCTACATGTCACTCAGTATTGAAAAGACATAGTTAGCGACGACAATTGTGTAAAACAATAAACTCAGGGTTTCAATCGAGAGTGACAGGCTGAATTTAGAATCCGGAAAACAATACAAAATGACTCTTAGTGAGCTTTCACCTGCGCCGGCAGTGGCCTCTCAAAGCACCCTATCTGCGTCGACCGGTTGGACTGAGAAAGGCGTCTCTATGGGACAAAATTTACTTGCAAGCCGACTGGATGCCCGAACCAAAATGCGTATGTCTGTACAAGAAGCTCGAATGCGCGCAAAATTGCCACCGAGCGAAAGACTTCCACCAGTACTAAAACTTTCCCCAAGGGCCAATATCGAGCCCCATAAAGAAATTGCTGCTAAAGAAATTCTACCAGTCGAAATCGTAAACCCAGGTACTCCCCCACCTCCGTGCAACGCGTTTGATGTAAAGAAAGATCGGAGCTTAATAAACAATTTAATAAGGTAGGTTTTTAGTAAGCTCGCTTTATCCTTCAATATAGGTTTGAGTACATATATACCAGTTAAATCTAATTTCCCGGAAAAAAAAACAAAGTCATCATTTTCCATTGAATTGTATGTGTCATGATTACTGTATAACTTGTGAAGTTTCCAATCACACAATAAATATAATATGCAACAAAAATGAAGATGTATGTGATCCTGTCGTCACTGAACTGCCATGTTTTAGTTATTTATTGCAGAATACCATGTTTTCGATAGAAAAAAGGTACCCAAGCGAACGTGCTTTTAGTACAAACATGAAGCACAATAATATTCGTTTCGTCGTGCTTATATCAACACAGTCGCTGAATCTGCAAAGCCGATAATTGAAAAAAGTTATGTGGCAATTTTTCAGGGAAACTGAATTTCAAGATCAGAACGGCAATGAGAAGAAAATGATGGAACCGAGTAAAAAATTTGTAAAACACATTTGTGGATGGAATTTAGATTACGATAAATATCATTTGAAGACAAGAAGTACAGAAAACCGAACTGTTTGTACAGCAAAAACACCACAAAAAAGAACAATACCCTCAACCCCGACATTGGCTTCAGACTTGAAGATTAAAATCAATTTATATGATAGATATACTGCCAATTCAGTTGGAGCAATATTCAAGTTTTTTCATTATGCGGATTTAAGGTTGTATATAAAGCAATACCGACGTAATCATTCATGGGGTGTGGGACAAAGGACACATTTAACAAGCGGTAATGTTTTTATTTTTAACTGAGTATGCTGACCTGCTTATATAAAGCGCATCGCACAATCCAAATATTCGGTTTGCGTTTTTTATTTCAGTGTCACCTGTTTATGAAAATAACATGTATCGTCTTACTGGTCCACCCGAACATACTCCATATTACTACAACGCAACAAAAGCAAGAGATGGATTCGTATTGGGTGTGCAATCTACACCAGTGACACCTAATATATGGAAAGTAGGTGAAATAGATATATTTTCATATCTCTCATTCTTGATTACCTACAACAACTTAAATTAAACATTGTCATTCAAGTTAACTGACAATGTACTTTCTACATCATACACTATTTGACTAATGAATCATTTTTTTATTATCTTAAAATGAAATTAATTTGGTGTAAGCAATGATGGTCTATCTTAAAATACGTATTTGAAGCTCCAAATGATTGTGATATTCGGAAACTTTGCACGACTTCGACTTTTAGTACATTCCATAAAATGATTAACAAGTATTGTGTGTTACATGATCTGAGTCAACGTATCAAAAATGCATCGTGTACCCAATGTGACAACAATGAATATGTAGATTGTGTAACTAATTGGAGAAATCTAAAAAAAAAAAACTAATTATCATTGATATTTTAGGCAAATGCCAATCTTCCATTACCGTCAGCTTTTCGTCAAAGATATTCAAGAGAGAGGAGACCACCAGCTGAAGAACCAATTTTAAGTCCAAGGGTATTTGTTAGGTCGGTAGGTATTTTACGTACCTCATCAATTCATCATCGTTTACAATCTTGAATAGAATTCTTCACGATATTTCTTTTTATTCAGACAAAACGGAGCATTTGCCCAGTTTTGGAAGACGAGAGACGACGGAACACCAGATCCTTCCATTGCCGTAACAAGGCCTCCAACAACTCAAACCCAAAGGCCTTCATGTACAGGAGAAAACAAGGTAAGCAGTAAAATTGCTTGTCTCCAGGAGGAAGAAGTGTAACGTACAAAGCAGGAAACACGCGAACTAAACAAATTTTGCCTAAATAAAGAAGATATTGAAATTTGAAGGAAAAAATAATCGGGAAAGTTTTATCTTTCCACCTGTCATTGATCTGTTCAATCATAATTTTCTTTTCAGGGAAATCAGAAAATGAGGCCCGAAATCAAGACGACCAAAAGCCCAGAATTGCATGGGGACCTACAGAAAGAGACGTCAACATGGCGCATAATGC